AGGGAAGGAGTAAACCTTACAACAATAGATATATGAATAGAACAAGGAATGTTTAAACAGAGATGTTCAGGTATTTTATGTTGGGGTTTGTTGAACTCCTCTGTGCTCAACCTATCTCATATGCTATAACCCAATCTCCTCATATACTGTAAGGCTGCATCTAAACTGGCATGATTTTGCGCAAATACTTTTAACGGAAAAGTTTTTCCGTTAAAAGTATTTGTGCAAGAGAGCGTCTACACTGGCATGTGCTTTTGTGCTAACGCCTCCATGCCAGTGTAGACACTCTCTTGCACAAGAAAGCTCCAATGGCCATTTTAGCCATCGGGCTTTCTTGCGCAAGAAATTAATGTTGCCTGTCTACACTGGCTACTTGCGCAAGAGGGCTTATCCCTGAGTGGGAGTATTAGCACAAGAAGCACTGATTTTGTACATTACAATGTCAGTGTTCTTGCGCAAATACTCGTGGCCATTGTAGACAGGTGGCAAGATTTTGCGCAAAAGCATCTGCTTTTTCGCAAAATCTTGCCAATGTAGACACAGCCTAAGAGGGTTAAAGAGCTAGAGGATATTCCATAGGAAGAAATTCCCAAGTGTGCCTTCCTGGGTTCTCAAAGGGGTTTTTCTGCATTTGGGGGGTGGCAGCGAAACACCCAAGGTCAGGGAATCGGAGACCTTCGTGAGTTTTTAAGCAAAAGCCTTTAGTGGTAGGGGTATTTTAAAGTCTCTTGTGCACCCCCACCTTCTGCACGCCAAATGCCAGAGTGGGAAACAGCCTTGACAAGGGCTCCAGCAGCAAATTAAAGCTACCGCGGCAACAACGACCCGTCAGCCCAGAGCTCTGGGCCCTTTTAAATCGCCAGGCTGCCTCCGACCCCTCCCCTCATTGGCAGTCCTGTCCTTATAGAACCATTATTCACTTCCAATCTCTAGGAAAAGTGTGTTTCATGGGAATAATCTGAGAAGCCTATATTTGATATCGAAAGAGCAGTTACTTCCCTCACAGTAACTGTGGTTCTTTGAGAAGTGTTGTGGAATTTGTGTGGCCTTTTGATGTCAAGCACCACAAGTATGTCAAAATGGATTATTTTCAGCTAGCAGAGTCCACTGGGGCTGTCCTTATACCTTGATATCCTCACATCTTCTCCTGTGGCCTTAAAAGGCTAGAGCAGAATCAACCATTGCTCAGATCTTTTGCCAACGTGGAATCCTATTGTTACTGGACTCTGTATAAGCAAGGAGTGTGGGTCTTGGAAATCAAATGAGCTCTTGCTTACATGGGTAGATCTAAACTAGCAATCTAATCACTGGCTCTAGCACAGTTAGATACCCATTTAGCCAAACTTTGAGTGGAAATGGCAGGACCCTTAACCCTACTGGCAAAGGCTACAGACTGTGAGGGAGAAGACATGATTATGATCATCCCTGTCCATGGACATAATGTCTGGTGGGTGTTCCCCAGCATCAGCACTCACCAAAAGTGACCATTCAGCCTTTTTGGGAGCTTTCACCTAAAGCTCTGAAGAGGCCCTCGTCAACTACTCTACAAGACAGGGCATGAGCTAGGTCTTCCTCTCTTGCTGGATTCTCTTGGAGAAAGAATGGCAGATCAAGCATTGGTCAGGCATGTATCCTTGTCCAATGTAGAACTACAGTTGGACCTCCCAGGTTCGACACCTTCAGTACCTGATTGGTCCCAAATGAGGAAGTTTGCTGGACCAGGGGCGGTCAATGCCCCTCCTCACTGCCATCCCAGCTCCAAGGCTCCCTTCCCGGATGCTCCTCCTCACTGCCGTCCCAGCTCCAAGGCTCCCTTCCCGGATGCTGACCCTCCCCCACTTCCCCATGGCCCCAGCCACCAGACTCCTCTCCCAGCCCCAGCTGCACTCCTGGGCATCAACCCAACTTTGCTCCCCAGCCCCTCCACCACCAGACTCCCAGTTGGCCCCTACTCCCAGCCACCAGGGCTCTCTGGTTCCACAACATCTACTGGACCACGGATGTAGCTGGACCAGAGAGTCCCAGACCAGAGAGGTTCAAGTGTAGTATGTAGAATCATCATCATCATTAACAACCATGGGCTCAACACCCGTTGGTGTCCAATGCCTCCCTCACTATTTCCTTCCATCTTTTCCTGTGCAGAGTGAAGTGGCTTAGTTTCTGTAGACTAGCTCCGCACCAATCTACTCTATCATCTACCCATTCTCTGTGGGGTCTGCCTCTCTTATTCGGACCATCCATTATGCCGAATACCAGGGTATTAACTTTTAATTCATCGTTCATTCGGCAGATATGCCCAAATAGCTGTAACTTCCACTGTACAACCTTCTGCAGTAGGTTCTCTTTCAGCTGTATCGTCCTATATAATTTCTCGTTGGTAACCTTCTGCATCTATCCTATTCTCAGGATCTTTCTATAGCAATTCCTCTTAAACGCCAATATCCTTCTCTTCAAATCTTTTTTTATCACCCATGTCTCATATCCGTACAACATGTTGCTAAATACACACCTTTTTAAAACACCCAGCTTTGTTCCTAAGCTAATCGCTTAACTTTTCCAGATCTTATCCATCACCTTCAAACTCACTCTTGCTTTTGCTCATTAAACAGTATAGCAGCCTTGCAATAGCATTGCTAGTTTTAAATTCCTGTGATTCCTAGCACTCAGGGCATCCCCAAATCTATTCTAAATTTTTAGGGAGGGTGAAGGAGATTGCTAATGGGCATAAACAAAAAACTAGTAATTATACTCATTATGCTAACTATATTAATCACTATTAATTAACCAAACAAGAGAACATATGGTAGGCGCAGTAAATGAACACAGCAGGATTTCTGTCTTGCTCCCATGAAGAATAAGAAGGAATGGAAAAACAGTTGGTCTATTCTGCCCTTTTGATCTCTCATGGGGAGTCAGGGCAGATGCAAAGATAATACAGTGTGTCGCCACTGTCCAAAAAGAATCTGACCTCATGAGTGCAGGAGACATGCACATCTAAGAGTGAAATGTGTGTGGACAATTGCTCAGAGAAGAAACCATTTTTTTTCTTATTCAACCTGATATGGGATGAGTTTTGTAACTAACTCTGCATTTCCTTTCACATGGGGACTTCAGCAAAGTGCCAAACTTGGCAAACATTCATTGTGCCTCATCGCACCACTAATATTTTCCTGCCTTGTAGGGAGGTGTAAATTGAATAACATATGTGATTAGAATTAATGTGCTGAATCTAATGTAGGCTTTAATACTGAGAGTACCCCATTGTGCCTGTTAGACAAGATGAATGCTTTTAAGTACCGTGTGGCAATTATTTGACTGTTGGATGTGTGAAAGTGTGAAACGATGTGAAGAGACCAACTTTAATCTCATTCCAGACATGTAGTGGTTGGATTTAAACTTTGTCCTCTGTGCTTTGGCCATTTGATTGTGATTCCTATCTCATACTGGGAATGCGTATTCTATCCTGTTCAAATTTTATACCACATGCATCTCTGTGTTATCTGAAGCTATATATTCATTGCCAATAAGAGGTGTATATTTATGATGAGAGAGGTAACTTGAGATAGCTATCTTGGTGTAAAAATCTAGGTGGAGACACAGCACAGGTTGTGTGTGAGGAAGGCGATATACTTGACCTCAACTAGCTCGGTCTATCTTGTATCTACCTGACGTTGACCATGATGAGTTACATCAAAATAAAAATGACCTGTGTGTCGTCTCCACTAGGTTTTTACATCAAGAGAGTTCTCTCAGTTTAAAAACATAGAATTAGAACCAATCTATTTACATTCTTTGAGGGAGTCAAAAAGCACATGGGCAAGAGTAATTCAAGTGATAATAGAATCTTAGACTTTCAGAAATCCTTTGACAAGGTCCCTCACCAGAGGCTCTGAAACAAAGCAAACTGTAATGGGACAAGACGAAAGGTCCTCTCATGGATCAGTAAGTGGTTAAAATATTGGAAACAAAGAGTAGGAATAAATGGCCAGTTTTTCTGCATGAGACGAGTAACTAGTAGTGTTCCCCCAGAGGTCTGTACTGGGACCAATCCTATTCAACATATTTATACATTACCTGGTAAAAAAGGTGAATACTGTAGTGGCAAAATTTGCAGATGATATTAAACTACCCAAGAGAGTTAAGACTGTAAAGAGTTACAAAGTTTTCTCACAAAACTGGGTGAATGGGCAACAAAATGGCGGATTAAATTCAATTTTGATACATGCAAAGAAATGCACATTGGAAAACATACTCCCAACTGCACCTATTGTGACAGACGGCTGGCTAAGCCAGAGCTATGCCACTATAGCCTGCTGAAAAGATCAACTGAAGACAGCTGAGCAATCCCAGGCCTGAAGGACTAATGGAAGGATTAAATTCAATTTTGATACATGCAAAGAAATGCACATTGGAAAACATACTCCCAACTGCACCTATTGTGACAGACGGCTGGCTAAGCCAGAGCTATGCCACTATAGCCTGCTGAAAAGATCAACTGAAGACAGCTGAGCAATCCCAGGCCTGAAGGACTAATGGAAGCAGCTATGGGCCTCATTAGCCAGAGGGCTAAATAAGGCAACCAGAGAGGAAGTAAAAGGGGGGGAGGAGCCAGGGTGTGGCTGCGTGTGCTCCCCAGGCTGGAGGAGCCAGGAGCCAGGGTGTTGAAAGGGGGGGAGGAGCCAGGGTATGGCTGAGTATGCTCCCCAGGTGGGAGGAACCAGAAGCTAAGGTGTGGCTGAGTGTGCTCCCTAGGTGGGAGGAGCCAGGAGCCAGGTTGTGGCTGTGTGTGCTCCCCAGGTGGGAGGAGCCAGGAGCCAGGGTGTGGCTGAGTGTGCTGCCCAGGCAGAAGGAGAGGCTGGCTGCGTTTGCTGTAAACCAAAGCTCTGTACATAGAAGGTGGTGGGAAGCTGACAGTAAAAGGCCTGGGGTGACTGCACCAGAAAGGGTCTCCGGCTGATTTGTGGACAAAGAAGGTGTCCCAGGGCAAGGGGCCTGAGCGAGGACCTTGCCACACTATAAAATAATAGGGTCTAAAGCAGCTGTTACCTCTCAGGAAAGAAATCTTGGAGCCCCTGCAGATAGTTCTCTGAAAACACCCACTCAAAATGTGGTGGTGGTCAAAAAATCAAACACAGTGTTGAGAACCATTAGGAAAGGGATAGATAAAAGGACAGAAAAATATCATAATGCCTCTATACGAATCTGTGGTACCCCCACATCTTGAATGTTGTGTGAAGACCTGGTTGCCCCATCTCAAAAAGATGTATTGGAACGCAAAAAGATACAGAGAAGGGCAAAAAAAGTATTATTGGTATGGAATAGCGTCCATGTGCGGAGAGATGAAAAAGACTGGGATTTTTCATCTTGAAAAAAAGACTACAATGGTCAGATATGACAGAGGGCTCTAAAATCTTGATTGGGGTCGAGAAAATGAATAAGGAAGTGTTATTTACTCCTTCCACGTAGCACAAGAATTAGGGTCACCCAATGAAATGAATAGGCAGCAGGTTTAAAACACAAGGAAAAATTTCTACACACAGTGCACAGTCAACCAGTGGAACTTTTTGCCAGAGGATGTTAAGGCCAATATTATAATAGGGTTAAAAAATTAGAGATGTTCCCAGAGGTTAAGATTTTCAGGGATTCCACCCCATGCTATGCATGTCTCTGGCCTGTTTGCAGAATCTCAAAGAATGTCTAGTCACAATCCCTACTGCTGTGCAGACCAGAATTGAAACTGTTGTTTGAGGCATCCTTAAAAACTAGAAGAGCCTTTACATTCATATTGATTCTTAAGACAAGTGAAACCAGGGACAAAGTATAATGGTTGTAGTGTGACAGCAACCCCTTATTGATAAGAAAAACATCCAGGGGATTCTTACATAGGTGGCTTTCTGATCTGTAGTTACTGTGCTTAACGCTTCTAGGGCCTCCGGGAGAAAAACCGAAAAGTTCACTGTGTCAGTCAACGTTGCAGCAGCCAGCAAAGTCACTTTTGAGCTCACCTATGAGGAGCTCTTGAAGCGGCACTTGGGAAAATATGAGGTGCTGATTAAAGTAAAACCGAAGCAGCTTGTCAAACACTTTCAGGTAAATTGCTCTGGCATTTCATTTATATCCAACAGCTTTTATGAAGAGCAGTTAAAAAGCTCTACTAGAAACAGAGGGTGAAGAAGGGCCCTGCTTCTAGGCCATGCCAGCTAAGGGTATATTTATGTCTTAAACTGTGTGCTCCAGGAGATACATGCATTTACCATTAATAACGATGATGGAAAGAACAAAGAACTGATGGTTCAGCCATCTGAGCAGCCTTGATCAAAGGCTTTCTCTTCATTTTTTCCAAAACTGTTGCAAAACAATATGAAAGAGAACATCATTGTAATGCCCTGGCCAAATGCATGTGATCATGTTGCCCTCCAGTGGCTGGCCCCAGCGATTATACCACCCGCTGTGTGCGCGTAAGTCTTATTTATAATGACAATTGTGATGGCCACAGTTTATGCTGATGTCGCCACAGCAATTGCACCCAACCTTTACAATATCCAGGACCTCGCTGTTAAATCACAGGGCATGAGACCCAGTTTAATTTGCATATGAATTATCATGTATTTTAAAATCAATAACTGCAGCCACAGTAATGTAAGGGATCTTTGATCCTTGATGGATGTTCGAGTACTAATTAATATCTGTCTGTTTAATAGAAAGTGCTTATTTTGCTAGTTTGTTTACACTAAAACTCACGCATGATCAGGGGGTGGACGCTGCATTGAGTCAGCCGTGGGCTGTATTTTTGCCTGGTCCAGTTGCTGGTGAAGGGATGTAGCTGTGGTATCTCTCTCCCTCTTCTTGGCTTGTTAGCCAAGAGTTTTCTGTGTGGCCCATGCAGCCCCAAAACATCCCTGACCATCAGTTAATTGGGAAGGAACCCAACTCTCCTCAAGTCCCATTTGAACAGCAGAATGGACGAGGCTCTCTTGTCCCATGTGTGGGCTGGCTTGGGCCCCGCTGCTCCCCTCAAGCAAGGCAGGCCCCACAATTTGGGGGTGACTACACTAAATAGCTGCTTCAATGGGAGCTTTTGGGACTGGCACAATAAGCTGCAGAGCCCAGACATCCAACTCAGCCCCGGAAGGCCCTTCTTGCTGGCGGGCCGTCCGCCAGGCTCTCCCCCTTACAGACTCCCCTGGTCTGCGCATGGAGTTCCTCACGCTGAATTCATTACACCCTACCTGCTATGGGGTTCTACCCCACACGGACCGGCCTACTAACTGTTTCCCCCCACTATTTCAGATTGAGGTGAACATCTTTGAGCCACAAGGTATCAGTGAGTTAGAAGCATTTGGATCATTTATCAACAATGACTTGATCCAGGCGATCGAAAAATCTTTCTCTGGAAAAAAGGTATCGACCCGTTGCTCACCTTACTGCACGTGTGCCTGGTGCTGTCCCTGGAAATGCAGAACCTCACTGCTGCGTTCTCATTGACTTGTCATCAGGCTTCATTTGCTCTTAAAGAACGTTTGCTTTTTGTATTTCCATGCCAGGCTGGCAATAAGCACAACAAGCAAGCCGATGACTCCAAGGGCCCTGTGCGGGTTTGCATATTTTAGGTCAGCCTGACCTATTCCTTAGAGCAAGGAATCAAGAGGGAGCAACTGATAGCCCGATTTACTTACAGGCGGACATGAGCACACATGCTAGAAGGCTCCCATTCTTGTCTGAGGCCTACAAAGCACGTAACTAGCTTTGATTTTGTATATAAGAAAAAGCAAACTATGCATCTGTTGTGTCCTTTGCACTTTACACAGCTTGCATAATATGAAGGACTCACAGAGGCCTGGTAGGGTCCAAATAACCATGTGTGTTGAAGTCAATATAACACACAAGGCCTAGCTATACCTCTACACTGCTGGTGGTGGCTTCTGAAACATAGACAGGAGGGAGGACTACAAAGGGAATTGTTATTTATAGGGATAAGGCGTGATTTCTATAGATCACAATACTTCAAAAGTGTATTTTTCCTACCATACGTTGAAGTGCCTTGTAGCAGAGATAAGTATGGTGCAATGTTCAAGAAGAGACTTTGGCAAAATACAGCCTGTGTGCCGGATTTGTCCTTCCAAGCCACCAAATCCGGCCCACGGAGGCAGCAGAGCTCCGTTTCTGTTTTAAAACTGGAGGGAAGGGGAAGTTTTAGGAGCCGCCCCATCCAAGCACATTCCTATTGGCCAGTTGCTGGCAGAAACTGGACAATGGGAGCTGCTTGTTGAACAAACAGGCAGCTCAAAAGAACCACGCCCCCTCTCCTGGGCTCAGTTATTCATGATGCACAAGCAGGCTGGCTGGCTGGGAAATATTTCAAGCTCTGCAGGCAGGCAGACTAATTTGGCAGCTGACAAGTAAGTCTCTTGGCCACAGCCTGCTTCTGGCACCCCAACCTCTCCCTGCCCCAACCCTCTGCCCCACTCAGCCTACCCAAATCCTCCATCCCCCTCTTACACCCATACCCTCTCCCAGATCTGGCACCCCAGTCTCCTGCCCCAGATCACAATCCCCTCCTACTCTAGGTCACATCCCAAACCTCTGCACTCCAGTCTCCTACTCTAGATCACAATCGCCTGTTTCATCCCTACTCCCTCCCAGACTCCAGTCTCCCTCCTGCACCCCAGTCCCTTACGCCAAGCTCCCTTCTGCACCCAACCTCCATCCCAGAACCCGCATTTCCTCCATTAATATCCTGGAAGAGTGCAGCCCTTGACCACCTTCCAAAATCTTGGCATGGCCCCCCATCAAAAATTATTGCCACCCCTGTCCAAAAAGAACATGTGCAGTGAGGAGGATAGGGTATGCTCTCTTTTGATGGATTACTGTTTAGGGAAGGAGGGGTTTTTTGCTTATATTATTAGTAGCCCATGAAAAACTCATCTGAACATTAGAAGCCTAGAGTCTTGTACTGCAATAATGAATTACAATGATGTCTAAGTCTTACGGTAATGAGTCGTTCTGCATTGAATACATTACAAGAAAGAAGGCAAGTCTATACAGTGATTATGAAAAATGTTCAATATTGTCAGCCGAAATGGTCAGGGCAGTGTGTGTGTGTGTGTGTGTGTTACACCCAAGTCTTCAACTGCTGAGACGCAAAGTCTCATTGCAGTGGGCAGCCTAGGAGGCTGGAGGGCGCCCCAAAAATAGTTTAACGTCTGTGACTTTACTGCTAGGACCGGGGTCCCGTCACAGAGGGCAGCCAACAGGCTCTCAGATGCCCCGGTGTGTGTGTGTGTGTGCGCTATACACCTGAGACTTCAACTGCTGAGACCGGGGTCCCTTGCAGTGGGCAACCTGGAGGAGGTTGACTGGCGCCCCAATAAGTTTATAGGGAGAGCTTATAACACCTCAGATTTTAGCTGCTAGAATCCAAGATTCCTTCGCAGCGGGCAGCCTTAGGGAAAGTCTGAGAAGTGCCCCAATGAATCTGCCACCGGGGAGTGACACAATTCAAACGCCCAAGCTCTCCCTATACCTGTCCCTTTGACCGGCTGAAGTTCTTTTGTTTGTGTTCGGTTCGGGTACAGCAGCACGGGTTCAAGTCAGAAGCTTGACACTCACTGGCTTATTATAGAAGAAAGAAAGAGAAAATAAAATAAAAGAAACTTGGTTCAATATATATATATTTTATAAGTGAATGAGGGCATCCCACTTATTCCCAAAGTTTATAGCTAAATCACCTTACCAAAGGCAGTTTACAATAGAAATGAAGCAGTTGGCCTTAAGAAACTATAATAAAGTAACTAAACTTATAACAGAGAGACAATTAAAGTGTACACATAAAGAAAACACATTGCAGGTACAATTCTCACCCCTGTGTTCCAGACTTGGCGTGGCCAGCTTCTGTCTCTCAATCCCTTGGGAAGAAGTAGGGCGAGGTTGGGCATCCCACGGACCTCGGGAGACAATCAATACCTGCCAGCAGGTGTAGGTGATTGGAGCTCAAATGGGGTGGGCAAACTAAGCCCTCTTTATACCCCTTGGGTCACATGGGCTTCTTCCTAGTCTCAAGTGGCCAATTAGGAAAAATGGCTTTGAATGCCAAGTTTCCCACGAAGGGTGCAAAGCATAATTCACACCTGGGAAGATGCAGACAATGGGCACCTCTGGTATGTGATGGGCGAAGATTCCTCTCCTGAGACAGTGCAGGCATGTCAATTACTGATACTAGCCATCAGGGCGACGGGAGGCCTCCCAGTCGTCAGCTAGCCCATTTACTGTCTGGTTTCTGTTTATGGTAGAGTCAGGGACAGGCACCACACCTGCGTTCCCAGGGCATCAAAGGCTGACTGCCTTTCTCTTGCTCTCTGTGGGGGAGGGGAACAAGATGGGGTTCGTGGAAAAACAAGATGGGGTTTGTGTCTAGCTACAAATATTTACATCGCTTACTGGATGCAATAGTTGGACATATTTTAGGGAATTATGTGGCAGAAAAATATATTTAACGTTATTTTTTCAGTAAATGTATAAAATTTTTTATTCTAACCTACTGCTTTTCAGGGCCATGTGTCTTTCAAGCCAACCATTGATCAACAGCAAACATGCAAGAACTGCTCAACATCTTTCTTGGATGGAGATTTTACTATAAAATATGATGTGAAAAGGGACTCCCCAGGCAATTTACAGGTAAAGTCAAATGGTGGTTTGGGGGTGTGATGGGGAGTTGGGGTTCCGCCCAATCCTGAACCCCCATAACCGCAGGCACAGACTCCACCAGCCAGTAGACTAGAGGGAGTTTATTGCTTCTCCAGGGTACAGCACAGCATAGATGTAATCTGGTTACAAGAATTAGGGACAGGATGCCACAGACCCCCTTGAGATGGGGGTGACTGGGCCCCTACAACCACAGCTTCCTCCTCAGTCTCTCTCTTTCATGGCTTCTGCCCGAAAAACTGCCCCTTCCCCTCGCACACACTTCCTTTGCTCAGCCTCTTCCCTTACCTTGTAGAATTGGTTTTAGCCACCGCCCTGGGGCGGTAGGGCACCCCCTGCTGGGCCGTGCTTACAGACAGCTGCCAGTGGGGGTCCCCCACAGCCCAAGCATAGTAACCAACGAGGTACTAACACTACACCACAGGGGGATCAAGGGATGCTAAAGCCTTAATCCTGCAAAGAGTTTCACACACTATTTTGTCACTGAGCCCCATTGAGTTCATGTGTGCAATGTTAATTACATGTAAGTCATTTCAAGGTTGGCTCCTGCTTTCGTGCAAGTGTTATGCGCAGCCAGAAGGTTCTTATGTCCATCATATTCTTTGTTTTTCAGATTATCAATGGATACTTTGTGCATTTTTTTGCACCTGCGAATCTCCCCAGAGTGCCCAAGAATGTGATTTTTGTCATAGACATTAGTTCCTCAATGATGGGTCGAAAATTAGAACAGGTATCTCATCAGAAACTTGAGCACACAAAAGGATATTCCTTGGCACAGCACATTTCTTTAAATCAAATAAGACAGATTAATCAATTTCAAACAAAGTTGGAGAGTTTATTTTTTATTACTAAAGTCTTACCTGTGAGGACTGAGGTTGCAGATGATTTTTTTCCAGATCTCTTTCATAAACCATCCTAGATAGTACTTTACTATCACTCAAAATGCCACAAAGCTCTATTAGCTTCTAGCACACAACTGTTGGCTTAGGTTTTTCTATTATACTCTGTTCCACCACCAGTCGGCTAAACAACTGTATCATGTTAATAAATCCTAACAGAACAAAACACTGTATGAGGTTGCAAAGTGGAACTAGGTAAACTCTACTCCAGTTTTAAAAGCCACTTGCTTTGACACAAGAATTTGAAATGAAAAGGGGCCTTTTATATGCTCCTTATATTTTTAGCCACAATGCTCTTCCCATCTAAGATTAACTCTGTAATTAGTACTTCCCAGGTCTCAGCCATTTTGTAATTGAGGTCTGGGGTCAAAACTCTGGCAACAAACTTACTTGGGTCATGCTGCGGGCATGCTGAATGCTTTCGTTTCTATGCTCTGCAAATCTGAGCTGCATGGATTTCTTTCCCTGTTTTAGCCATGTTATATTTTGAATTCCTCTTTACGCCCATGTTTGCATTCTGGAAATAGTGTAAGGTCTGTCTTTTTGCTGAGGCATTTGGGAAAGTGCTGGAAAGAGCATAAGACGGGGGGTTGTCATCTGAGACTTGTAGCGTAGTGGAGTCATGTTGAGAATTGTGGGCACTGGAGTTTAGCAGTGCAGTGTAATTGTTTTTGTCACTCTTGTAAGAGGTGTTCAGAGCAGGGGATAAACATTCCTAACATGCATGTTTAAGAATGGAAATAAATATGTACATTGTAATATCAGGCTATTGTTAGAACTGGTTGGGCATTTTTTCAGCAAAATGTTTTTAATTGAAAACTGCTTATTCGTCCTGAAACTTTCCCACCAAAAAAATTCGTTTAGACCAACTTATGATAAGAAAAACTTGGAATTGTTTTGATACTGTCCAAACTTCCTACTTCTGACATTTTTGCATGTAAGGCTCCCCCCCCCCTTTTTTTTTTGAGTCAAACTTTCTTTTAATTCACAATGAAAAATAATTCATTAAGTAACAACATTTTGATTGACCTATTCAATGTAAAACATTTTGACAGCATGGACATTAAGCATTTTGACCGGCTGAAATCAATGTTTTTTTTCCTCAGAATATTGATCTGTGAACATTTGAGACTTTTTGCCACAATTTGGGACTGGAATATTTTTCAAAAATCTCAACTTTTTTCTCCGGATGGGAAACTCTTGCCTGAGCTACTGGATCACCCCTGGAGCTGCACTACCCCTTGTGTGGTGCTAGGACTTCTGGGGACACATCCCATTAGTGTTGGTTCTGAATCCCATCACTTCTTTGATTCTTTCCTAGTTTAAAGCAACATGAAATGATGAGAAGTCTTTATGTATGGTGGAAAGGAGAGTGTGTGGGGGTGGGGGTAACACCCAGATAAGAACCCCAGTTAACTCTACAGTGAAGACATACCCTAACATATACCAAAATAGAACGTCATGAGACCTTTGAAACTACACGCATCTCCCTAGCCTGTGCACTTTTCCCTGCCAAATTGCATAGTTCAATGGTAAACAATGGAGGCAACAAAACTTCTCAAAAAGGTTGCAAAAATATCTTCTTATGGAAAGCATCAGGTAACCTAAATATAATCATTATTGCCAGCTGTCTCTATCATACAATACGCAAAATCTTCAGATTTCATGCGGTCGTGTGTTTCTTTTAACAGTGTTTATTATTTGTTCTAGACAAAGAAAGCGCTCCTCAAAATATTAGATGATGTCAAAGAGAATGACCACTTCAACTTTATCATGTTTGATAGTATGATAACTCCCTGGAAGGAACAATTAGTCAAAGCTACCTTAGATAATCTGAAGGAAGCACAGGCGTTTGTAAAGTCTATACGAACCAGAGGATGTAAATATCTCTAATTTTTAACCTTTTCTCCAATATTAGTTCATGTAATACTCTTCTCTTACATAGCATCTTTCCTCCAAAGATCTCAAATAGGGGCATGATGAAACCACGTTTTCGCTAATCAGCAAAATCACAACTTTGGTAAACAATGAATCTGAATAAGAGGAAATGGAAGATGTATTTTCTGATGGACAATTGATACTGGCAATAAAAGAATAGGAAGGGATTTCTGGGTCTGAGAAAGGTGGCAAGAAAGAATCTGGATGGGGCATGGGAACAGAGTCTGAAGCCACAGAGGGCTTGAGGGGGTCATGAGCATAAAGAAGGAGTGTGAGGATTGGGCTGAGTTGGTGTTAGATCCGAGACTGAAGCATGGTGACTGAAAGAATCCCAGCCCACAGGATGGAACAAAGAGGGATTTACAGCATTGTCCCAATGTTCTAAGGGGGGGTTGCATAAAGCCAGGAATTTAGCATGATTGCAATAATACAGTGATCCAAATAAAAAATGGCTACAGTTAGCACGGTCATAAGACAAACACCAATGCTCCTGCACATATCGCTTGGTTTCCTGTTAGAAACTTCCCTTACAAAGACATGCCCAGTAAACATGAAGAAAGCAAAAGCAGGAGTAACCTGACTGCGCCCTTGTTTGCTCTGAAGCTGTTACAGATCAGAGCACCCCCAGGCTAGAATAAAACCACTCTGGATGTTATTTTCTGTGTCTGTGCTACTGTCGCATAGTTGTGAATAGAAGCGGTCAACACTATCCTTCCTAGAGGGACCTATAGGCTGTTGGTGAGCTTGAAACATGCTCAGTTGACACCCAGTGGCAAATGGTGCACGCTTGTGCTCACTCTTGTGTTCTGTGGTCATGTCTCTTGCAGCTACAAACATAAATGATGCTTTAATAAGAACAGTTGAAATGATGAATGAAGCTCACCAGGGCAAGCTTTTGCCTGAGAGAAGCTCCTCTACAGTTATAATGCTGACTGATGGGAATCCCACTAGCGGTGAGTGTTTGTAGTTATGCTGCCTGTGGGCAGGCCCAGGGCCGGCCTTACCATGAGGTGAACTGAAGCAGCCGCCTCAGGTGCCAGACTGTGGGGGGGAGCCACAAGGACCCAGCGTGTAGAAAACTGTCTGCTGCTGGTGCCTATGTATTCTCTCTGCTCTAGATGCCCAGAGATGATGGAGTGCTGTGCTGGAGGAAGGAGGGCACAAGAGACACAACAGGCAGACAGGAGAAAAGGGAGCATGGGGCTGTCATTTGAGCTCCCTGCCTCAGGTGCCAAAATGTTGTGGGCCGGCCCTGGGCACGCCACTGTTGGTTCAAGCATCTGTAACTATATAACTCTGCCAGCAATGCCCCTCTGCCATGTATATTGGCCAAACTGGACAGTCTCTACGGGAAAGAATGAATGGACACAAATCAGCTATCTGAAAAGGCAACACACAGAAACCTGTTGGAGAGCACTTTAACCTGCCTGGGCACTCATTAATGGATCTCAAAGTCACCCTATTGTTTCAGGCCAAATCCATAAGCCAAATACACTGGGAAGCCTTGGAACTTAATTTTATTTACAGGGTTGGGACCCATCACAAAGGTATGAATAAAGACATTACTGGCTAGCACACTCCATTCCACATCCTCATGACTTAAAAAACTAAACAATGGGTACTTAAGAACAATTTGCACCTTCTCTATCAGCTTCATGTAACATGAACACCTAATTGGCTTCCCCTCCCCCCGTTTCTCTCCACCCCTTACTATTTATTTTGGAAGTGGACCTTTAATACTCCACTCATCTGAAGAAGCGGGTTGTGCCTACGAAAGCTCATGATACCATCGACATGTTTTGTCGATAAAGTGCTGCTCGACTTGTTCTTTTTTATGTATCTCTTTGATCAGTCAGGTGGCAGTCGTAAGGAGTGTCCAGAAAGCAAAGAATTCCCACGGTGACCAAGGCAATTGATTTAGGGCAGCTATTCTTTCCTATTCTGCTGATGCTTGTCTATTTGGTTGAATTTTGAGACAGTTTTTGGAAGTGTTTAAACATTATGGTTTCTCATTTTTAGTTGTCTTCATTTTAAATTAAGAACTTTTAACTGGCTCCCAAGTTAAAAACAGAAAAAAATTAACCAATCAGCAACAACTACATGCCAGACCTCTGCAAGTGCACTTGAGATTTCCCTGCAATCTCTTTCCTCTCTAGGCTTCTGTATTTTCTATGCTAATTTTTGTTCACATATTTTAACCATGTAATAGTAATTTTTCCAGATATGCCCCTTAAATGGAAAGAGTCCTCTCCATAAAATTGAACTGTTTTCTGGTCTTTAATGCAGGAGAAATTAATCCTAGAAAAATTCAAGACAATGTGAAAAAATGCCATTCAAGGAAGATTCTCCTTATATAACCTCGCCTTTGGCTACGATATGGATTATAATTTTTTAGAGAAGATGGCACTGGAAAACAATGGATTGGCGCGCCGTATTTATGAGGATTCCGATTCAGCTTTGCAGTTACAGGTAAGAAATATAACCACCCAGTAACCACCTACTCTTGTAACTCTTGCAGATATTAGTTACAAAACTTTGATGAGGTAACTGTTCCAGCATAACTAATGAGTAATATTAGTAAACACATACATACTTTGCTAATGGTATCAAGCATAATATATAGTGAGGAAACTTCTAAGAATGAGTTTTAAAACTCAACCATAAGAAATAAGACTAAATGTTTTTCTGGTTATTCAGAAGTGTTATTCTATTCCATTTTGTTTAGGATCTTCAACTCCCATCACCATATCTAGTTAATTATCCACTGAGTCCCTTCAGAGTGATCTGCCATTAAAAACACGATCCCCCCCCCAATAAAACACTCTCTCTTTATATATAGATTTCAAAGCACTTTACCAAGGCTCTGGGGGTGGGGCGCTAAGCATTATTTATCCTCATTAGCTAATACAGATAAACTTAGGTACCTGAGCTAAGTGGATCACAGAGGGTCTCAGAGCAATTCACCTGCAAAGTTAGGTTTTGGGATGCCTAGTCTGTTTCTCTATCAACCAGATCTCACTGCCTTCAAATGCAATGTTTTCAACATGCAGTTTTCACATCAATATAAACAGCCTCATTTTTTCGATTCAAAGTGGAATTTTGTATGCTGGGACTATTTCTTTCTGTGGGCTCCATAGAATATGTGAAGGCAAATTAGGTGTGGCTTTCAGACTGTTGGCTAGCTCCTAATGCAGCCCTTTGTTAGGCCAAATTTGAATGCCTGTGCAGCAGTACATAGCACAACATAGCCAATGATTTTAGTTAGGTATGGAGTTCTTGTGTGATGTTATAATTAATCCATATGTTATGTTCTATATACTCATTATATGTTAATCAGTATTGATTTATAGGATCATAGAAGTATCAAATTGAGTAATATTTAGAAAAACTAGATAATTGGTCAGAGAAGCTGAACTGCAAGAAGTCTGTAGGCTGAGGCCTGCGAGACGTTAGCATAGCTATATTAGACTTTGGATACAAGATATGGCATAAGTGGGTGACCTGGAAATAACCTAGTGCCCTAAGATTTTGCGCAAAGAAGCAAGAACTGGTAATATTGCAAAAGGAGAATTGGGAAAATTAAATTTAAATCATAAAGATGCAACAGCAAAATGTGCTTATAACTGTGAGACGAAGGTGGTACATTAATCTACATAGCCGATAGACTCTAAGGTCTCTTGTGTCTCCAGGAGACATAGACCAATACGGAAGAGAGGGACAGTGTGGTATGTGCATACACAGAACGTAGGGATAGACAGAATCACAGTATAAAGAAGGGTGCCCGGAGCAGGCAAATTGAGTTTCCTACAGGAAACTCCAGCAGCAACCACTCCCGTCTTTGCAATCAATCCGTGCCAGGGCTGACAGACTTTGAGAAGGTAGAGGAATTCTACCATCACCAATGAGGATGTGAGTATATCTAGAGCAGGGGTGGCCAACCCGCAGTTCTCCAGCCACATGTGGCTCTTTGTTAAAGGAAATGGGGCTCCTGCTGCTTTTGAGCCCCACGGCCCGACTGCTCACGGCCGGCCTCTTTGAGTATGCACCCCAGCAGCTGCTCATGGCCAGCTGCTCTGCGCACACACCCAGTGCCTGGAGGGAGAAGCATGTGGCAATGCTGGCTCCAGGACCCAGGCATTAGGTTAGAGTGGGGGGAGGGAAGGATTGGGTTAGAGTGGGGGTGGGGGTGTGTGCCTGGTTCTGAGGAAGAGGAAGGGGATTGGGTTAGAACGGAGGGGCTGGGGGTGCCTGGCTCTGGGGGAGGGGAGGCGTGGCGGCGGCTCCAGGACCCAGGCATTAGGTTGGAGGGGGCGGGGAGAAGGGACTGGGAGTGCACATCTAATATCTATCTTACATTTTACTTATTCTTATTTCATTTTCTGTTCTATAGACTTAAATTGGGTTTGGGGTTCCATTTTCTGAAGGATTCCTATTTGGCTCAAACAACATCTGCCTTAAAGATAAAAAAGGAAAAGGAAATTATCCAGTTTTATATCTAAGTACCACCAGCCAGTCAAGAGTAACCAGGGCATATCAATAGTGCCAATAAATATGCACTTGTACATCAGTCAGCCAAAGGGCAAGGAAATGATGAACTAGTCTTATCTGCTAGTAGTTGCTCTGCTACTGATGAGGGAACCAGACCAGAGATCAACAAGCTGGAGTGAAACAGGCACTTCAAATTGTGGTAATTTACTTCTCAGTTCAGTTTAATTTTCAAAAACTCACAGGACATAATAGGGCAGCAGTGTTAAATTTATGGTAGGGATGCTTTTTTTTTAGTGTGAGACTATTACTGCATTTTTAAAGCGTTGTTTTTTTAATTTGATGTTTGTTCTTTGTGAAGTTTTCTGAAGATCTATGGACTGGCCATGAATTTTTTAAGTGACTAGAGACTTTTTTATTGTTTTTTTTCTGAAATTTCCTGCAATGTTATTTTCATCACTACATTTTGTGTACTATATCTCTCTATCTTTCTATAGATAGATAAAAATTAATATATAATACGTGTCTCTTTGCACTCTATCCACCGCTATTTTGGCTCTTTGTCTCTAACTAGTTGGTACCCCTGGTCTGTTTTGTGTACTATATCTCTCTGTCTTTCTATAGATAGATAGATAAAAATTAATATATAATACGTGTCTCTTTGCACTCTATCCACCGCTATTTTGGCTCTTTGTCTCTAACTAGTTGGTACCCCTGGTCTATCGTGAGAGTTAGTGCATGGCATGTATCCTTATTTGGAATCAGATATGCTGAACTTTTTTGATTTTCTGGCAGCTTTAATGAAACTACTAAAAGGTAGATGCCCTTGTAATTGTACTATTTGATCTGAGGAAGTGGGTCTGGCCCACGAAAGCTAATCACCTAATAAACCATCTTGTTAGTCTTTAAAGTGCTACATAGTCCTGTTTCTCGTAATAGTATGTGCTACTTGCCTATGGTTTCCTGAGTTCCTATGGGCTCCAGGTCTAGAACAGAGTTAACTCAGTTGAATTTGAGACTGTAGCTGCTAGAGGTGAACCCAGGGAAACATGATTAACTTAACTTAACTTAACTTAACTTAACTTAACGAAAAGAAAAGAAAAGAAAAGAAAAGAAAAGAAAAGAAAAGAAAAGAAAAGAAAAGATATGTATTTAGATTTGTTTCCCCTTCCCCCCCATGCAGAGTTTTTATGAAGAAGTGGCCAATCCCATGCTTCTAGAAGTACAAACAGACATGTATTTAGATTTGTTTCCCCTTTCCCCCCCATGCAGAGTTTTTATGAAGAAGTGGCCAATCCCATGCTTCTAGAAGTACAACTGCATTACCCTACCAATGCAATATCTGAATTAACTCAGAACAATTTCAATCATTACTATGATGGTTCTGAAATCGTGGTGGCTGGATGTGTTATAGACAATGAACTGGACTCCTTTATGGCTGATGTGAAAGCTCAAGGCGTAAGTATTGGTCCTGAGGTGTTTTTGTTTTAGGTGCTTGATTTATAAAATGTCAAGGCTTGAGTCATGCCAGAAAACTGAAGAAAACAAAACAAAACCAAATAAGAGGATGTTGCATCCTCATGCTATAATTGGAATATGTGTGACATATGTCAGTGGTCTTACTTTATGGAGAGTAGTTGCATAATCACAGCTAAAACAAAAGAAAAATGGACACCATCCAGTTAATAAGTAAACTTGCAAAAATACCCAACTTCTTTCTTTACCTGCTGCAAAATGGTAGACAGGCTATCAACGCTGCATCCTCATGCTATAATTGGAATAAGTAAACTTGCAAAAATACCTAACTTCTTTCTTTACGTGCTGCAAAATGGTAGACAGGCTATCAAATGGCTCCTGTAACACTGTCGTGTGTCTCTCTGTATGTGGTAGGCCTGATAGAAGGGGTCTACCTTTTACCAAACATCCCATATTAGCCGTTTAGTGTTTAAGTACGTTGGGCATGTGATCATTCAAAAGCATCCCACTATGAGATGAATTACTATGAATTTTGGAAAAGGAGATTAAATCTTCATGCTTTGATATGCCATTGATTGAAAAGGAAATTTGATTATCCAGTTTAATTTCTCAGTAACCCCATTGTTTCATATTTGATCATATTTGTAGTAACACTGAGGTTTGCTTGCAACAGGGGTTAATAAAAATACAGAAAGGTCCCAGACTTCCTACTTCTGACATTTTTGCATGTAAGGCTCCCCTTTTTTTTTTTTTTTTTTTTTGAGTCAAACTTTCTTTTAATTCACAATGAAAAATAATTCATTAAGTAATTTATTTATCTGACTGCTGTCTCATCAGTGCAATTAAATGCTAGTTAATATAGATCATTTGTTAATTGTTGCATTTCTGTACATAAAAATGCATTCCTAATTGAAATACCTTTATGCAGTGGTGGGAAAATGTTAATTTTTGTAAACAGTAGTTTCTCAATTCCTAACAGGCAAACAATGATGTGACATTTACTGAACAAATAGATATTGAAGAAAAAGCTCAAGCTCTCCAAGAACAGGAGTACATATTTGGGGATTACATTGAGAGGCTCTGGGCCTATCTTACCATTCAACAATTGCTGGAAAAACGGTAACTAAGTATAAAAAAATACATAGTTAAAATTGCTTGTTGCTATCAGATATTGGTTGGGCCATGGAAACTGAATGATTCTCCCATCTTTTGAAATGGTGCCTTCAAATCTGAGCTGTGCAACACAGGAAGTACAGAGGAGGAAATCCTGCACTTTTGCTGCCACTTGTACCTTATACTTCTCTGGATAAATGGAATACTTCAGGCTTTCAGTCTGGCCCCTTTCAATAGCACTTACGTTCTTCCTAAATACAATGACAGGAACGTTCTTCCTAAATACAATGACAGCAACTTCCCCCCACATCTTTGCCTTCACTGATTTGCTCTGCATTCCAGTGGAAATGGACGTAGGTAATTTTATTCCTCTTTTACGCATGTAAAGTGGACAAGCCCAGGTCGTTGGGAGGTGGAATTGAACCTAGGACCTTTGAAGCTAAAGCCAGGAGCCTCTACCACATGAGCTAAAAACCAACTGGCTGTCAGCTGAGGCTGCTGGGCAGACTTCACTCTCTCTTCTCAGTGCTCTCAGTGCCTCTGGGACAAATTCTGCCTGATTATGTGCATACAACTCATTTTAATTAGCGTGACAGACAATAGTCAGTAATCATAAAATCATAGAACACTAGAACAGGAAGGGACCTCGAGAGATCATCAAGTCCAGTCCCTTGCCCAAGCACTGTCTTGATCGTCCCTGATAGGTGTCTATCCAACCAGCTCTTCAATATCTCCAGAGATGGAGATTCCACTGCCTCCCTAGGCAATTTATTCCAGTATTTAATCACCCAGACAGTCAGGAAGTTTTTCCTAACGTCCAACCTAAACCTCCCTTACTATAATTTAAGCCCATTACTTCTTGTCCATTCCTCAGAGGCCAAGGAGAACAATTTTTCCCTGCCTCCTTGTGACACCCTTTTAGATATTTGAAAACCACTATCATGTAGCCTCTCAGTCTTCTCCTTTCGAAACTAAACAAGCCCAATTCTTTCAGTCATTAAAATGGTGGTAAATAGCTCAACTGCATGTGCTCTTCTCCATTATATATTAAAAATTTCAGCTTGAGTCTTTCTATTCAAGTTAAGAGCTGCATTAAAAAAACACCAATAGACTTTCTTTTAAGTAAGCTGTTAGAGATATACAACCAAGAGCCTGCTGGAAAATGCTATGAAACACTAATGCTATGAAACACTAATTTTTATAGGTCACATGCATCTGACGAGGTGGGTCTTTGCCCACGAAAGCTTATGCTCCTACACTTCAGTTAGTCTATAAGGTGCCATAGGAAACTTTTGCAGATTCAGACTAACACGGCTACCCCTCAGATACTTAATTTTTATAGGAAACTCATGTTTATAGAATATCATCTACTGATATTCTATAAAATACTTTCTAGTATGTGTGTGTGTAGTACTGCCCTGTACTGGAGTTTAGACCTCTACTCTGCAAAACATCAAAATATTATTACTTGACTATGGTTGGCATTGGACCTGGACTTGAATCACACTCTGATGGCCTCCATTACTCTGCTGTTTAGTAACATTCTTTTGTATTCTGTCTCTTCTTTTTACTATTTGGAATATACATTGAGTGTGAGTCTCAATTATGGTGTTAAAAGAAGTCTCCAGGTAGCTTGCAGGAATTTCACCTATATGGCTGATCTTTTTAATTTCTCTCTAACTACTGCCCTCATTCTTGTGTGGTTCCCTTTTTAAAAATTTGGCAGTTTTGTCGACTGCTGTAAACCTCATTCTACGATGAATAACGCCTTTTGTCGACAGAGTTCTGTCGACAGAAGGCTTTTAAGATATAGCTAACTCTTAAACTAGATCCTGTACTCCACTTATAACTAACTCGAGTAGTGTGTCTAGACTACAGGGTTTTGTCAAAAAAAGTGGACTTTTGTCAACAAAACTATACCTGCGTCTACACTGCCGCTGAGTTCTGTCGACATAACGTCGACAGGACTTGGCAGTTTTGTCGACTGCTGTAAACCTCATTCTACGATGAATAACGCCTTTTGTCGACAGAGTTCTGTCGACAGAAGGCTTTATTGCACCTACACTGTCCTTTGCGTCTACACTGTCATGTCGACAAAGCAACTTGCTTTGTCGACAGAACTGGATGTAGTCTAGATGCTCTTTGTCGACAGAAGCTGTGTCGACAGTATCTGTCGACAAAGCCTTTGTTGACAAAAGCCTGTAGTCTTGACTCTCCCTTTGTGGGTCCCAGAAGAAGCTGTGCCAAGAAGCAGTCATGTATTCTGGTGTATTATTATTTTAAACTTCAGCCCCCTAATCATTTCGGTTGCCCTTCATTGGACTCTCTTCAATTTGTCCATAATCTTTTGTGGTGTGGGGCCCAGAGCTGGATACAATACTCCAGATGTGGCTTCAAAAGGGAATAATCACTTCCCTCAATCTGGGGGCGCACTCTGCTAGGCATCAAGCCATTGACCACTACCCATTAAGCCTGATGATGTAGCCAGCTTTCTATTCACCTTATAGTCCATTCATCTCATCTTAACTATTAAAGAGAAACTGGTCACAGAACTCATAATAAGGGGTAAATTGGATAAAAGTGATCATGACTTGGTAACATTTGTTACGTGCAAATAGAATAACCTCTAAACCAGTAATACTTGGTACTTTAAAGGGACCATTTTCACAAAGCTGAAAACAATTATGAACACATCAATTGGGAAAAATAATTTAAAAAGAAAAATGTCAATAAAGAGAAACTGGTCACAGAACTCATAATAAGGGGTAAATTGGATAAAAGTGATCATGACTTGGTAACATTTGTTACGTGCAAATAGAATAACCTCTAAACCAGTAATACTTGGTACTTTAAAGGGACCATTTTCACAAAGCTGAAAACAATTATGAACACATCAATTGGGAAAAATAATTTAAAAAGAAAAATGTCAATAATAATTTAATATAATATAATATAATATAATATAATATAATATAATATAATCTCTTAGAACTGGAAGGGACCTTGAGAGGTCATTGAGTCCAGTCCCCTGCCCTCACTGTAGTACCAAGTACCATCCCTGACAGATTTTGTCCCAGAGTCCAGAATGGCCCCTTCAAGGATTGGGCTCACAACCCTGGGTTTAACAGACCAATGCTCAGACCACTGAGATAGCCCTCCCCCTTATTAGAGCAGGTATTAGATTACTAGAGGCCTTAAAAGCCTCCAACTTATACTCAAGAAAGAAGGTCACATTGCTGTTGGAAATTGTAAAATTGTCAGAAAAATCAGAAGTGGTCAGCAATTATAATTGTTCTGCATCTGTGGAAAAAAATTGATGATGTATATAGATGAGGGGTGGACAAGATACCTCTCACACCCAACAAGCCACCAGATCTGACCCACGGATGCCCCTTCTGGGACCCCCAGGCCTGCAGCAGCCTCTGTTTTAAATGCAGGGCTGTGCCGTGTGACTCCAGAGAGAAGGGGAGGCTTCAAGTGATCTCCCTGCCCCCAGCCCAATCCTCAGCTCCTATTGGCCAGAAACAGCCAGCCAATGGGAGCTGAGAGACTGGTCTGGGAGATGGGGGGGCCATCACAACTTCCCAGAGTTGAGAACCAAGTGGAGGGAGCAGGCTGCATTTGCCGTGTTCTGGAGCTGCAGCAGGCAGGGAGCCTGGTCTGTCTTGTGATGCTGTAGGCCGGAGATGCTTAGATAAGCGCCTCCCATCCAGATCCTGCTTCTGGCACCCCTGCCCCTCCAGCACCCCAATTCCCTCCCTCAAGTCACCTTCCAAACCCTCTGCAGCCCCCTGATCCAGGTCACAACTCCTTCCTAGACCCTGCACCCTCCCTACACCCTCTCCTAGGCCAGAATCCTCTCCTGCACCCCCCACTCCCTCCCTGACTCTACACCCCCATCTCTTGACCCAGGTCACAACCCACTCCTTTACCCAAACTCTCTCTCAGACCCCACACTGTCTCCTGCACTCCAGTCCCTTACCTCATGCGCCCTTCTGCATGCAGTCTTCACCCTAGACCCCACAACACCTCCACAGAAAAGTGCGGCCCTTGACCACTTTCCAAAAACTTGGAGGACCCTCCCCAAAAAGATTGCCCACCCAAAGTGATGAAACTTTTTTCATTCCAACAATAACTCAAATGGTTATTATATACAGCCGCCACTAAAGCTAGATACTTGACATGTCATAATAACTTGCATCAGAAAGCTTTAAAAGGACTTTCTGAGGAGCTCTCTGGACTGTCAATGTTGTTTTTCAATGTCTTGGAACACTGACAGAATTCCAGGGTACCGGGAAAAGCTCATGCTGTGCCAATATTTAGCAAGGACAGCCTAAGTAATTATGGGTCTGGCAGCCTGAAGTTGATGCTGGGGAAATTGATGGACATATGTAGAATAAAGGATGGCAATACAATTAATACAGCTAACATCTTTATGGAAAACAGAAGATCTCATCAAATTAATTTGATTTTTATAAGATCACAAGTTTGTTACGACACAATATTTTGATAAAGAAATTAGAATGATCCAAAGTCGACAAGGCCCACATTAAATTGAATAAAAAGACGATATCTGATAGCTCTCAAAGTGGAATTGTAAATGGGGAATCATCAGGCACTCTCAGAGAATGACAGAGGCCTGGGCCACTTGGAGTGGCCCCAGCCCAGCACCCGACGTAACGAACTTCTCATCCACAAGGTCATACTAAAACAAAACAAACAAAAAAAATTGAAATGAACACTTGAGACATTTATTTAGTTGCAATTAAGTCATTATGCCAATAGCATGTATATTAAAAATGTAACTTTAATTGTGAGTTTCCACTGCAAGCAAAACCCTTCATTTTAGGAATGCTTGTCTGGCTTTGTTGTGTGCAACAACACTGTTAAAATTAAGCATTGCAAGACCATTCAAATGCTCTTGTCTCATTGTAGAATGATGATACTTCTTTACTTAGTTTCAAACATTCACCTGAAGCCACTGATGCAGGGAGACTGTCAAAAATACATAATGAAACTGTGGTATTAGGCAATACAGTCGACAAGCGGAGATCAAATATTTCTTGAAGCAGTTCTTTTGGCTTGCAGTCTGATTTAAAGTTAGTGGAATGTATACATTTCAGGAAGATGATTTTGTCACAGAGACCTCTTGAAATTTTGTTGTTGTATTTTTGTTGAAACTGTTCAGCCGCTGAATATAGATCTTCATCACTTAGTTCTCTGAACTCTCAAAGGAATCCAAAAAGGGTACAAATTTGTCGGAGTGACTCAAATCGATGTGTAAAACCAGATTTGGTAGAGTCAATAATAATAAAAAAAATTGACTCGAGAGTGCCTTTCTGCATCAGATTGAGATGTTAGGCTGTGATTGGTAGAAAACTCAGCTGAAATGTCAATACCCTGTGCTACTACTTTGGACTCGGAAAGGATTGTATCCCATTGATATTTTGAATATCTTTAAGAAGTTGTTCGATGTTATCCCTCTTAACATCTAATGTAGCTTTGCATGCTTCAATTACAAGATTAGTTTCGTGGATGATTTTTAGCAGATTCATCCACATGAACACCATTAAAATGCATTCAAATGTGCATGTATACTTCTGAATTGACTTAAGCTCAATGTAAGCCTGTGCAGTGAGAGTAAGAGATTCAAGTTCACATAGAGCCTTTCTCACAGAGTCCAAATGCTGTGCAACTGGTTTAATGCTATCAATTTGTATTGACAATCTTATTGTTGACATGCTGTGAAGGGAAACAGGCAGATGCTGCTTCAGAATTTCTTACTTTTGAGGGCTGCTACTGAAGAGGCTGTACGATTGCTGGATTGTTCCAAAGTACGTGATTGCTTCCTTGAATGATTCAGCACAATCAATGCTGACAAGATTTAGTGTGTGATTGCCACAACTGGAGAAAATAAAGTTTGCATTTTGCTCAAGAACTGCTTATGCTCCATTGTACTTCCCAGCCATATTAGATCCATTTTCATAGGCTTGGCAAATGAAAATTTAATTTGAAGCCTTCCAAAGCCAGGCAAACATGGTAGGAGACCGGATTGGCTTACAGGGGAAATCCTTGGTAAACTTAAGCACAAAAAGGAAGCTTACAAAAACTGAAAACTTGGACAAATGACCAGGGATGGGTTTAAATGTATAGCTTGAGAATGCCGGGGGGTTATCAGGAAGGCGAAAGTGCAAATGGAATTGCGACTGGCTAAGGATGTGAAGGATAACAAGAAAGGTTTCTACAGGCATGTTAACAAAAAGAAGGTGATCAGAGAGGGTGTGCGGCCCCTACTGGATGAAGGAGGTAACCTAGTGACAGATGATGTGGGGAAAGCTAAAGTACTCAATGCTTTCTTTGCCTCTGTATTCACGGACAAGGTGGGCTCCCAGACTAATGCACTAAGTGACACAAGATGGGATGAAGATGGACAGCCCTTGGTGGGTAAAAAACAGGTTAGAAACTATTTAGAAAAGCTAAACGTACACAAATCCAGGGGTCCAGAGTTAATGCATCCGAGGGTACTGAGGGAGTTGGCAAATGTCATTGAGGAGCCTTTGGCCATTATCTTTGAAAAGTCGTGGAGATCGGGAGAAATCCCGGATGACTGGAAAAAGGCAAATGTAGTGCCCATCTTCAAAAAAGGGAAGAAGGACTATAAGCCAGGGAAATATAGGCCAGTCAGTCTTACCTCGGTTCCTGAAAATATCATGGAAGGGATCCTTAAGGAATCCATTTTGAGGCACTTGGAAGAGAGTGATTAGGAATAGTCAGCATGGTTTCACAAAGGGCAAGTCATGCCTGACCAACCTGATTAGCTTCTGTGACGAGGTAACTGACTCTGTGGACATGGGGAAGTCAGTGGATGGTATATACCTTGACTTTAGCAAGGCTTTTGATACGGCCTCCCACAATATTCTTGCCAGCAAGTTAAGGGAATGTGGATTGGATAAATGGACAGTAAGATGGATAGAAAGCTGGCTAGAAGGCCGGGCCCAGCGGGTAGTGATCAACGGCTCGATGTCAGGATGGCGGTGGGTTTCTAGCGGAGTGCCCCAAGGTTCAGTTCTAGGACTGATTTTGTTCAATATCTTTATTAATTACATGGATGAGGGGATGGATTGCACCCTCAGCAAGTTTGCAAATGACACTAAGCTAGGGGGAGAGGTAGATACGCTTGAGGGCAGAGAGAGAGTCCAGAGAGTCCTTAGACAAATTGGAGGATTGGGCCACAAGAAATCTGATGAGGTTCAACAAGGACAAGTGCAGAGTCCTGTACTTAGGACGGAAGAATCCCAAGCATTGTTACAGGCTGGGGACCAACTGGCTAGGTAGCAGTTCTGCAGAAAAGGATCTGGGGGTTACAGTGGATGAGAAGCTGGATATGAGTCAACAGGGTGACTTATGAGGAGAGGCTGATGGAGTTGGGTCTGTTTAGTCTGCAGAAGCGAAGGGTGAGGGAGGATTTGATAGCAGCCTTCAACTTCCTGAAGGGAGGCTCCAAAGAGGATGGAGAGAGGCTGTTCTCAGTAGTGATAGATGGCAAAACAAGGAGCAATGGTCTCAAGTTGCGGTGGGAAAGGTCCAGGTTGGATATTGGGAAAAATTATTTCCCTAGGAGGGTAGTGAAGCACTGGAATGGGATCCCTAGGGAAGTAGTGGAGTCTCCATCCCTAGAGGTGTTTAAGTCTCGGCTTGACAAAGCCCTGGCCGGGTTGATTTAGTGGGATTGGTCCTGCCTAGAACAGGGGGCTGGACTTGATGACCTTCTGAGGTATCTTCCAGCTCTATGGTGCTATGATTCTATGAATTTGTAATACGTGAGCAGTAATTTCTTTTCCAGTTTTTTCCTGAAATTACCAAACAAAATGAATCATTGTTCAACTGAAACCTTTGAACTTCCTACAATTTTAACATATCGAACAACCAAGGTCATCTTTTCTTTATGAGAACAGTCTGGAGTGACATCAATAATAATTGAAAAGTACTTTGCATGTTGTATCTCTTCAAGAATTGTTTTTTGCACACATGTAGTATTTCTAAGAATATGATTTAAATTATTAGGACATAACCAAGGGATGGTGTAGACGGAGCTTGGTCCTGCCTTGAGGGCGGGGGGCTGGACTCGATGACCTCTTGAGGTCCCTTCCAGTCCTATTATTCTATGATTCTATGATTCTATGGAAAAAAAATCTGAATTCAGTGGTTGTGGCTGATTTCAGAGGAGACTGCTGCTATTATGCTGAAAAATATAATGCAGTGTTTAATGTCTTGACTTTGTAGAAAGTTTTTAAATAGGTGCAAGTTGCTGTTCTGCTTCTCTTCCTGCATTCAGCATTTCAGCTGAAGAAGAAAAACGAGAGAATCTTACAGCAGAAGCCCTAAAGCTCTCTCTGAAATATAAATTTGTGACGCCACTCACGTCCATGGTGGTAACAAAACCAGAGGATAATGAAGATAAGGAAGCAATCGCTGATAAACCAGCAGAAGGTAGAGACATTTTCATAGTTTGCTTCATAATCTAATCTGAGATCATTTGTGTAGAGCTGGTGGGATAATTAATTGTGAATAAATTATCTGATGTATTTAATCTTATTTTACATTCACTAATCATTCAAACACAGACTTATTTCTGCACATATGCGAATTATTCATAAGTTTTCAATTAATATACAGACAAACAAAATTTGTGTTACATGTTGTTGGTCATTTTTAGCATCAGTGGCATAGTGTATACATTTTTCTAAAGTACCTGAATGACTTATGAACCCAAGTTTCCCTGGCTTTTAATGGAACTTAGAGTCCCAAATCATGAGGTGGTTTTGAGAATCTTCCATAACCTAAAACTCGTTCTTTCCCAAATAATGTGAATAATTAGCATAATCTTTCCTACAGTTTTGGTTAAATTAGACATAACAGAGAATGTACCAAATGGCTCTCAAAGATCACCTTTATCCTCCACTGTGCTCTAGCTGCTTTTTTCTCTATGGGTATGTCTACACTACCCTCCTATTTCGAAATAGGAGAGTAATGTAGGCATACTGCAATTGCAAATGAAGCCCGGGATTTGAATTTCCCGGGCTTCATTTGCATAAGCGGGGCGCCGCCATTTTTAAATCCCCGCTCGTTCGAACCCCGTGCCGCGCGGCTACACTCCTCATTCCACGAGGAGTAACGGTAGTTCGAACTAGGCTTCCTAGTTCGAACTACCGTTACTCCTCGTGGAATGAGGAGTGTAGCCGCGCGGCACGGGGTTCGAACGAGCGGGGATTTAAAAATGGCGGCGCCCCGCTTATGCAAATGAAGCCTGGGAAATTCAAATCCCGGGCTTCATTTGCAATTGCGGTATGCCTACATTACCCCGCTAGTTCGAACTAGCGGGGTAGTGTAGACATACCCTATGTATGTTTGATATGCTTAGAAATGTGGTATAATGTTAAATACAGACATTCCAAGCAACGGATTCAAAATTATGTTAAATTAGAGCTGGTCAAAACATTTTCATTGGAAACTGGAGGTGTTTTCAAAAGCTAATTTTGCAGGAAAATTTTAATTTTTGTATTACTGTTTTTTATTTTATACAACCTTTTGCAATAAAAAAAATTGGAAACCTTCCCAGCATTTTTAGTTCTGAAACTGTGGGTTACTCCTCATTTTCCCAAACTTTATTACTATTTGCCAGCTACAAAAAACTGGTAGAGTAGAGCTGAAAAACTTCACTCGTCCACAGTTTGACCATTGCCAACTTTTTCTAGTCCCCCCCCCCCCCCCCCCATATTGAGCAAATGGAGAAAATTCTGCCTTCTTATGCTTTCAGGTTCCCAATTTTTGGCAGCTGGAAAACTGTCATTGTTGAAATTGAGATAGGGTAATAGCTTTTAATGGACCCACTTATGTTGGTGAGAGAGACAAACTTTCTAGCTTCAGGTAAAGAAGAAGAGCTCTTTGCAACCTCAAATGCTTGACTCACTTACCAACGTGAGTCCAGTAAAAGATATTACTTCACTCACCTTGTTTATCTAATCCTGGGATCAACCTGGCTGCAACTACACTAAATACTACAATGTTGAAATTGTAAACTTTAGAGAAAAAGTAATATTTCCAATATTTACCAATGATTCTCTAATTTTCTTACAGTTACTCAATTTTCTCTGATTGAGAAATATTACAAAAAAGAGTGGGAGGGAATATTTTCACACTTTTAAAAAATGATTTGAGGTAAAATAGGAATTTCATGACCTATTTTAAGAGTGGAGTTTTTCTATGAAAACTATATAGGAAACATCCCAGTTTTAAATTTTTCACCCTGTTTTTTTTAACCTTGAGGTTTTTAACACACAAAAGAAATCCATGTGTAAACCACAAAAGGATTTTTTTTTAAACAGTAAACAAAAGGAATGTGTTTGCCTCTAACATTTTGTTTTACTTCTAAGCTGATCCCTTTGTTTGGTATAATTTAAAATGTTTGCACATGTAGTTAAAATCATCCCTAAATACTTATATTTTTATAAGATTCTAGTTTCTGCCAAATCTGAGATTTTTTCCCTCTGTTACTGTTATGACTTGCTGATGGCTTAGAATAAATTCTGCTCATCACTTCTTTCTTATTTCTTGTTCATTCACAGGCAAAGCAGAAGGTAAGAGAATCTTACTATTTATGCATGCGTGTTTTTCCTGTGTAGCTATATGCATTTCTATAATAAAACGCATATTGTGTACGGTATGAGAGACACTAACAGAAGAGTTTCCTTTTAATGGGATCTATGAGGTATATCTTTCCAGAACTGTGGATTTTTTTTATTTAAAGAAATAGTAAAGAAATATTTTAAATCAGTTTTCCATGTCTCAATTTCTAAAATGTTATTAGGAAGCTTATTCAGTTTTGTTAAAATCACTTTTTCAGGGTTTACAGACTCAAAATTTACCTTTTCTTGGAACCATATCTGTGAGAATCCAATATGTACTTTGTGCCGGATTTCATGGCCAGAGGGTTTTTTAATTGATCAGTTTCATAACTTCAAATGTTTGCATCTGAAACTTCAGGGTGTTGTAACCACGGGCTCCAGGATCAAAAGGAGGTTTACGAAGCCTTGGCAGGGGGTTGTGGGATTGCTACCCCCACTTCTCTGCTGCCTTCAGAGCTGGGCTCTGCAGCCGCAGAGATGAAGCAGAGTCTGCTGTCACCTGGGACAGGCCCCCTGCCGGGGCTCCTAGTTGCTAGTCCTGGCCAGTGGCAGATGAACACGCAGGCCCAAAGGCGTGTGCCTAGGGCCCCGGAGCAATTTGAATCGGGGCTCCTAGTTGCTAGTCCCAGCCAGTGGCAGATGAACAGGCAGGCCCAAAGGCCTGTGCCTAGGGCCCCGGAGCAATTTGAAGGAGCTAAATGACCTGCAAACCAAGCCCGAGCAGAATCTGTGAGGGTGGAGGACCTGAGCCCAAGCACCTCGAGCCCCATCTGGAGCTGCAGGAGGATAAATCCGCGAGATTATCACTCACTCTTATGCTGCCTTTGGGGGTGGATCTGGACTCCCCACCCAAGCAGCTGTGCAGGTGAAGGGCAAGTCCTTTCCCTCCCTAGCCTGGACTAGCCATTAGGAGCTCCCAGCTGGATTGCTCCCAGGAGCACGGAGGTGATTGGATTTCATGGGGAAAGGCTTATTTCATGACCCAGGACTCGTTTTTTGCAGCTCTGAAATTGGCAGGGCTCTATGTGCGACAGCCCTGCTCACAGAGGGGGGCAAAGGGGAAAATTGCCCTGGGGCCTGGTGAGTCAAAGACGCCCAACTAGCCATTAGGAGCTCCCAGCTGGATTGCTCCCAGGAGCACGGAGGTGATTGGATTTCATGGGGAAAGGCTTATTTCATGACCCAGGACTCGTTTTTTGCAGCTCTGAAATTGGCAGGGCTCTATGTGCGACAGCCCTGCTCACAGAGGGGGGCAAAGGGGAAAATTGCCCTGGGGCCTGGTGAGTCAAAGACGCCCAGGACTCCAGGAAGGCTGCCTGCCATCAGCCCCACCCCTTCCACCCTCAGCTCCGCCCCTTCCGGGAGCACAATCCCCACACCTTGCCCAGGGGCCCAGGAGCGCTGCTGACATGTGATACGAAATGTGTCCAATATTTATGAAAAGTACTAAGCATCATTTGACAGGAACCACTTGCAGATTATATTAAGATTATATTAATCTTTTAAGTCCGATGCTTTATGAAGTAGAACGGGGTGAGGAACCTTTTTTGATTCGGGGGCCACTGACCCACAGAAAAATCCATCAGGAGCCACACACATCCCCTCACAGGCCATACACCCCTCTGGGAGGCCTCCAAGTGAGAAGGAGAAAGACGCTCCCCACATTCCCCTCACAGATCAGAGCCTAGGGGGTCTGGCCTAGTAGATTTTGTGTGCTCCAGCCCTGTAATGGGGTAGTGGGAGAGCTGAAGCACCACAGCAGGCTCCCCAATTCTGGGGTGGGGGGAGGCTGAGCCTTGGAGGCCAGATCCAGGCAAGCCGGGGGTGGGGCCTGAGGTTCCCCACCCCTGAAGTAGGAGGTTACAAATTAGTTTATCCATGTAGCTGTGTGATTATGCAATTGAAATTTTATACCATGACACTGACTTTTACATATGATACTGCGCACCCAACTCTTATCTTTTATTCTTCCTTTGGAAGGTCACCCGTGAAAGATTCCCCCAAAACACCTTTGTGTCAGAGAGTGAGAATCATGTGAAATAATGGATACTGAAGATTCTTTGAGAGAGGAAAAAAAATGTACTCTCTTATTAATTCTGATCAGGGCCAACTGAGACAATTAAAGAAATGAAATATCCAGGAAATTTTTCATCCTGTTTTCCACCCTGTATCTTGAATGTAGCTACAGTATCTAAGGTTGTAACAGTGAATAGCTTTCTTTTTTCCCTAGCAACTTGAACTGTTGTGAGAAAATACTTTTCATCAACAGATCCTCTTTGAAACAGTATTGAAAATGGTTTAAGTGGTAATGTAAACAAGATAAAATGGTATCCAACCCCATTTCCAAAAGCATATTTGAAGCTTGTAAGGAGTTGTAGGGGAAACTATTTAAAACTTCAATAGATGTTAGTTCTAAAATCATTTTGATTCATCTAACATGTCAATCTCTCTCTCTCTCTCTTTAACCTGTCAGATACTTCTTTTCTGTCTAGATACAGAGTTCATTCAAGGGCACACTCTGGTAAGTGTCTTTTTTTAAAACATATCTATAAACCATACAGAGTTCTCCCTTTGGCGAGAACAAACCTGTGATGTTTAAAATATTTATATCTAGGTTTTTTGTTTGTACTGGCAGTGCACATCCACACACGACCTCAATATTGGTGTTGCCCATAGGAAAATTCAACCCGCCCAAGGTTGGAAAGGGTTAGAGGGATCATCGGTCCCTTGAACTGCTGATGCCCTACAGAGCCCAGCACCTGCACCCTTCCATGGGAGTGGGGGGCAAATCTCTCTGCAGGGGGGGCTGTGGTGGCAGGAGCTATGGGATACCGGAGCACTACAGGGCAGAGAGGCTCACCTGCAGCCTCAGAGGAGCAGGCAGAAGGCATGGGCAGCAGCAAGCAGTGTGTGCCTGCGGGACAGAGGCCTCAGGAGGAGTCGTGAGTGGCCGCACCACCAGCCAGACAGAAGCATGACTTTCCCCTTGTGATGGACCAGGCCAGGTCTGGGCACCACTGAGGGTGTCAGCTCAGGGCAAATTGCTCAAAACCCGGGCTGTTTACAGCCCTCGACTGGAGACCTTTCCCAAATAGGCCACACACCAGTCACACCGAGCGCTTCAGTTTCCAATCTGGCCAGCAGGAAGCCTCACAAGCAAAACCCCTCAGACACCCCAGCTTTCCCTGTGCCACAGTCTGACCCAGACCTTACACACAGGTGAGAGAGTATAAAACCTGATCTCACCAACTCCAGACAGGCCCTTCCAGTCCCAAAGAACCAGCCACAGTCCCAAGCCAATTTACACTTTAGATCTTACCCACAAGAGCACGCTGGGCCAATCCTTTAGATTCTAAAATCTAAAGGTTCCTTAATAAAAGAAAGAAAAGGTGGAGAGTCAGGTCGTTACATACGTCAGTCACCAAGTGCTTGATGCAGGCTCTGAGCAGAGATGTTACAAATTGCCAGCTTAAAAGCCTCTGGTGTACACCCTGAATCAGAACGGGTCAGCAAATCCTTCCCGGCTCTCTGTCCCTAGCAAGGAAGCATCTGGAAATCAGGAGCAGGATTGAAGACAAGATGGAGACAGCCTCACGGCACTTTTATGTTCCTGGTGTCTCCCAAACTGGAGCTGGTCACATGTTCAAGTGACCTGTCTGTGTTTCACGTGCCAGCAGCCACGAGGCACAGGCTGGTCTGCAGGCTTCCAGACGCCCTCCTCAGGCGTGTATTGGCCACTCGGAGAGCCACTGTCCATGGAGTGGACAATTCCTCACAATAGGCTGCTCCCTCCCAGACAGAGAACATTCAACCTACAAAAACAGAGCCCATATTCATAACTCCACATACAAACAACATGCAAGTACCTGAGCGTCATAACACGGAATCAGCAGAGCGTAAGCTCACATGGCCTCCTTTGTACAGAATTTGGAGCAAACACCCGCGGGTGCAACAGTGGTTTGTCTGCTCACTTCAAAATCCAATAACATGATGCCCCTTCCTCCCTTCTCTCTCTAATGCTGTGACCTCCTGCTACTCCAGAGTCCTCTGGTCTGTAGGCTCATGCTGCTTGCTGTTGCCAGGGGACAGGGCTGGCCACTGGAAGTGATATGCAGTGTGCCGCTGCTAGGGCACCATGAAATCCGGTGCAGTTTGGTGCCCCAAGTTACATGGCGCCCTATGCAGCTGTGTCGTTTGCATATCGGTAAGACTGAGCTGCCTCTACAGCAGGGTGGGGAGCCTCTTTTGGGTCAGAGGCAACTGGCCCGCAGAAAAATCAGTTAGGGCCACACACAAGTGAGAATGGGGTGGGGGGGGGAGACCAATCTCGCAGACATGGTCCCCTACTGATAAACAGAAACAAAAGGAGACACCTCACTCATGAAACTCAGGGTGTTAGGGTTCCCCTTGCATCCAACCCGGGGGGGAAGGGTGCGCCAATGCTCAAAGCTTCCCCCTCCTGGCTGATTAACTCTTTTGTGGGCCAGGAGCTAGTAGATTTCATGGGGTCCCCCTACACTCTGAGATGGGTCCATAAATGAGGGGTTCAGTGTACTGGAGGGGGCTGCTGGGCATAAGCTGGGGGTAAGAGTGCAGGGTATGGGCAAGAGGTAGGATGCAGGAGGAGGCTGGGAGTGGGGGTGCAGCATCTGGGCAGATGGGAGGGTGAAGGAGCAGAGTGTGGGTCCAGAGTCTGGGCAGGAGGGAGGATGCAGGAGCAGTCTGCGGGTGAGGAGTCTGGGTTGGAGGGGGATGTGCAGAAGTGGGGATGTAGTAGGGGCGGGGGTCTCATTTTGTCTCTACATGCTTGTGTTTGTTTATATTTCTCCTTTGTACTTTGACCTAGTTTTTGTAGGACTCTTTTTTTAAAATTTTTAAATCATTCAAGATCTCCTGATGAAGCCTGGGAGGTCTCTTGCCATATTTCCTATCTTTTCTATGCAGTAGGTTAGTTTACTTTTATGCCCTTAATACTGTCTCTTTGAAACTCTGTTTTCCCCTTAGAATTGTTTCCCATGATATCTTACTTACCAACTCCCTGAGTATGCCAAAGTCTACCACCTTGAAATCCACTGTCTTTATTGCGCGCTTGTCCTTCCTACCATTTCTTAGAATAATGACCTCTATCATTTCATCATCACTTTCACTCACGAAACCTTCCGCTTTCAAATTCTCAATCAGTTTCTCCCTATTTGTCAAAGCAAATCTAGAACAGCCTCTCCACTTTCTGAAAAAAAATGTCTCTGGTGCCTTCCAAGACACTCCCAATAAATGAAGTATCTAATTACTAATTATCTCAGCCATAACTTACTGTTTCTTTATCATTGAGAGGCTGTTTTCAGAAGTCCTTTAATCTGAGACATTGTAATGTGTTTGCAGTTGATGGAGATCCGCATTTCCTTATAGAAGTGCCAGAGAAAAAAGACCATCTTTGCTTCAATATCAATTTAGATCCAGGTGTGGTGTTAAACCTAGTAAATGACCCTGATACAGGTGAGTACATATTTATCTAAGATAAAATAGCAACAAGTCCAGGAGGGAAAGGACAAGAAATAATTTTGATTTTGAACTGAGAAAAAACAGGTAGCAGGTGATACCACCAGTTCTTATCTACGTCCAGATAAAATGTGTTTGATAGGAGAGGCAAGTGAATAAGGATAATACAGGGATGGATTTAAGCAGCGGTGCTCCCTTTATTAACAGCTCTGTGGCAGGGAACCCCAGCATAGTAGCCATTTAAGTGGGTCCAGTGAGGATTTACAGGGCTCCTATCACAAAAAAGACCCTCCACTACCTGCCCGAGGCTCAGCTTGCTCTGTCAAACCTCTCATGCTACCTGCAGCAAAGAGGACCGAGAAGGCGACTTTGGTCTATGAACACCTCAGGTCTCCCCTTTCCCTGAGATCTACCAGCAGAATCCCAGCATTCCGGAGGCCGGCCTTGTATCTGCATTGGGCCCTGGGAACATTCCTCAACAATTCTAAAATTCAGTTACATCCTTTTCCTCTTCAACCCATCTCCACATTGCTGTGAGGAAGGTGAAAAAAGCTTTCCAGGCCTCAGCCATGTAGCCTGAATAGGAAAAATTCCTTCCTGCTGTAGTAGGAAGAGGGCCCATGAGTGGTGGGTGAATGGCTGGCTTGGAGAGACAAGGCCCAGCCCTGTCCCTTCTGTGTCCATTGGAGCCCAGTCTCTCCCCATTGTGGCTGCTGCCACCCATCCAAGGCTAGTGCCCTCTCTTGCCCCCTCACATATAGCCGGCCAGAGTAAGTCTAAGGTCTGACACTGGGTTCCCAAAGTACAAAATACACCACACAGGTATCTGTCAAACACAAGTAGCTTATTTCTTGACAGCTAACAGCTGTGCCCCATAAATGGAAGAACAATATAACGAAGAAGCAGCATATCTTGCGTCCCTCCCTGCAAGCCTGGAACCCCGGGTAGGCTGCGGACAAAGTGGGAGGTTGTCTCAGCTTCCAAGGCGCCGGTACCCAAGGCCCATCGTTGAGGTTCGATTTGTTAGGCTCTGAGGCAGCCTTAAATACAGTTTTCCCTGCCTTGTTTTGCAGTTTGGAAATTTCCGGGGATTACTCATTATGTGCTGATGTAGGGCTTAGCTGTTAGTTATCGATCTGGTTCTGATCTGGATCTACTTGTTCTTTGGCCTTGTTTACGTGATCAGTATGTTAGGGTAAACAGAATTGTTTATGCATTCTTGCCCTTTACCCTTATCTTATACTTGTTCTTGCTATACTGGCAACAATGCTTATCTTAAGTGGCGTATGTTCCCAAAGACTTGCTTCTGGCTCGTCAGATATTGGGAAAAGGGAAAAGGGGTGGGGAAGAATGAAAGCCTCACCACCCCCTAAACTAGTACCTACAAAGTTCTTCCGCAATTGACCACTACACCACACCAGCCTGAGGTCAGTGCTAATGTGCACAAAGCTTTGCTGATATGATGCATCTCAGAGGGTATGTCTAGACTACATGCCTCTGTCACCAGAGGCATGTAGATTAGGCTACCAGACATAGGAAAATGAAGCGGCGATTTAAATAATCGCCGCTTCATTTAAATTTACATGGCATACCTGGGTGGTCGACAAATACCTTTGATGTCGACAACCACGCATCCAGACTATCGCGCTGAGCCAACAAACAGCTGATTAGCTGTTTGTCGGCTCAGTGCGGCAGCCATGTAAATTTAAATGAAGCGGCGATTATTTAAATCGCCGCTTCATTTTCCTATGTCTGGTAGCCTAATGTGGGCGTCTCTGGCCAACCGAGGGGGCAGTGCATAGTCCCACCTCTGACTGATCTGCATGCATTGTCACAGGCATCCACGTGTTAGTGTAACACTGACGTTGACACATAGAGCTCAGACCCAGCTTTGTCAGCAATTAACCTGTCCGGGTGCCTTCGCACCTTAATGGTCTTGTGATCATTGGTGGTTTGCTCGAGGCTGGTTGTGCCAGCTGTCTGCGCTGAGTGGGGATGGCATCCAGAGAGAACACACTCATGCAGCTGAACATCTGGTGTTCTGGGAGGGAGCGTGGGTTTAGAAATCCTAGGCAAGGTTTATGCTGATGATCGTGCGGAACAATCCCTTGTCCCTGTGGGTGGTCACAGGGTACAAGGGTGTCCTTGAGAAGAAAGTGCCTACTCCCACGTATACCCCCTTTTCATTCCAAAAGTGTTTGCTGCCTTCTGAATCCAATTAAGTCTCCTGCCCATCAAACCAGGTGGAGGCACTCTGCTTGTCCATCTCTTTAAGTGACACACCACCTGAACCTCACTTCGCTAATGCTCCCCAATGCAACTGTTATGTCAGTGGTTTAGAGCTTCGTGTGCTGGAGAAGTCAAATGAAAAGAAATGTAGGCAAGAGACGGAAGGAGAGACTGGCAGGGTAGTAAATTGGTAGCCAGTGAAAGGATTGGAAATTAATCTATAAAATGGTTTAGCTGCCCAGCACTTTCCTTCTTCACGTCATGCCTCAGCATTTCCTCCGCACTACCCATCCATAAAGTAATCACACATTTTGTTCCCTCGTAACAGGCATCACCATTAATGGACAGCTTACTGGAAAAAAGAAAGTCAGCCACAATGCACAGACCCAGAAAACATATATTGGAGCACTTGGGATTGTAAATACACAGCTGGCTTTAAAAATGGAAATAACGACTGAAACAATCACCCTCCAGAATGGCAGAAAGACAATCGCTTTCACTTGGCTTGAAACAGTCTCCCTACGCCAAGCAGGGTAAAGTATAACACACAAACCTATGCTTGTTCACGAATGTTCAAACTTACGAAAATGTTAGTATCTCAATGCCACTGCCATCAGCCTAATTATAATCGGATTAGCAAGTACTTGGAAGCCAGCTCATTCCCATGCATTTTCAAAGTGGTTTATTTTTTACCTTGACTGGTTAAGCTCTTAGACGACAATACACCTTTATTTTGGGATTTGGCCTCAGTGTAACAAGAGGCAACAGTCTCAAGCAAATACTTGGCGCTTGGGGGTTATTGGCAAATATTTTTACAAGCTCATAGCAAAACCCTTTTATTGCAAAGACTGGGCGTTGAGCAAGTGGGCAATATTTTAAAAATGTATTTATATAACTAAATTTCCAACATTTTAGTTCTCTTGAAGATGTATTCATACAATAAAAAAAAAGTGTTTAGAAACAAAAGGCTCAGCCACTGGTCCTGCTAGGCCAGGGGTGGGCAATAATTTTCCAGGAATTTGCTAAGTGGACAGGGGCCACACTTTTCTATGATATCAGTGGAGGGGGGCAGAGAGTTTGGGACTGAGTTTGGGTACAGGAGGGAGCCCTAGGTAGGGAATAGGAGTTCAGGGTCAGGGAGGAAGTTTGAGTGCAAGAGGAAGTTGCGCCTGGGGCAAGGGTGCAGAGGGGTTGGGTGCAGGAGGTAGTTGTGATCTGGGCAGGGAGTTGGGGAGCAGGATGGAGGGGTACCAAATTCAGACTTGGCCCAGGAGATGCTTACGATAGGCAGATCCCAGCCAGTGGCTCAGTGGGATCCTCAGGTGTGGTCCCTGCCTGTCGTGTCTACATACACTGCTCAAAGCTCCCGGCTACTGGGGCCAGTGTGTGTGCCTGTGCACAGCCTGCACCTTGAGGGGAGGGAGGTCTAAATGTTTGGCAAGCTGGATCTGGCCCACAGCTGCATTTTGCCTGCCCCGTGCTGGGCCCTGATTCAAGAAATCCCTTAGCTTAGCATATGTTTAAGTGCTGTCCCAAACGGATGCTTTCCTGAATTAGGATCTCAAATATGAACAGTCCAATCCTACAGCTACCTGCAAACAGACCTGCATGGAACCTCACTGATTTCAGTGATGCTCCAGGTGAGCCCAGGAGTGTGCACGGAGCTGCAGGACCGGAGCCTTTGTCTCTTCACTCTTGAATTTTTGCTCCCACATATTAAGTATCTCTCTTTCACATATGCTATTTGACATGGATCCGCAGGAAGTTTTGTTACAAAGGCACATCCTGCTCTGCCAGATGGATTTTCCATAGATTCCCTGGTCTGTTAACGTATTGTCCATAATATTAAATGCTGAAAACCAAAACTGAACAGCTAGGAGGTCTCTTCACAAATTCTATCTTTTCCTGTCTTCTGCTGCAGTTGGACTATGAAGATAAACAGGAAAAAGAATCTAGTGCTTTCATTTGGAGGTGGTGCAACTTTTATTGTTGTTTTGCATCAGGTGTGGAAGAAACATCCTATACATCACGACTTCCTAGGATTGTACACACTGGATACTCACAAGGTGTCTGAACACACCCACGGACTATTAGGTAAGAATTCACATCCATTAGAAAGGAGGAATACTATCTTAATTTAAAAGACTGACATTTTCCAGACTGCCAGATTCATTTAAGGAGAAATAATCATATGTCCATATTCTCAGAGCTAAGGTGCTCAGAATATTTAAAAGTTTCAATTATGTATTAGCTCTTTTGTTGCATGTTGTCTTAGTTTGTATATTAAGAGCAAAATTGGGATATAGGGCTATAACTTCAATAAAAGCTGCATTATGAAAAAAACTGAGAATGTGAAAATATGTTTTGTAAGTTAGAAATAGTGCATAACCCATGTCTTAAAATTATAGAAATTACAAATGGAGATGACCTAATAGATCATATTTAGCGCATTCTCCTCAGGTAATTACAGAAGTTTTCCCTGCAAGTGCATTTTCATGTGCTGTGTCCAGGCTAGTTTTAAATGTTTCAAGATAAGAGATTCTACTACTCTTGAAAAAGAATGCCATCGACTAATAGGTCTCCCCATTAGGAAGTTTTCTAAGAATTTTAATTGTATTCCCTTAGTGCTAGTTATATCTCCTTGTATGTATCAAATGTAGCTTACAGCAATCAGTTGATTTAACAGCAGATTTTGATACTGTGTTTTCTCCATTTATTTTCAGGACAGTTTTTCCAGCACATTGATTTTGAAGTTTTTGACATCCACCCTGGATCAGACTCTGAGAAACCACATGCCACAATGATTGTCAAAAACAATAGACTGTCAGTAACGAGGTAAACCAAACGTTTAGAAAATACTTCCCTTGCCCAGAAAAGATCTTGTAATTTGCAGGAACAACGATAGGAAAATTGTCTAGCTGTTAGCTAAAGGGCTAAGAACATAAGAACATAAGAACGGCCGTACTGGGACAGACCAAAGGTCCATCTAGCCCAGTAGCCTGTCTACCGACAGTGGCCAGCACCAGGTGCCCCAGAGAGGGTGGACCGAAGACAATGATCAAGCGATTTGTCTCCTGCCATCCCTCTCCAGCCTCTGACAAACAGAGGCCAAGGACACCATTTTATCCCCTGGCTAATAGCCTTTTATGGACCTAACCTCCAAGAAATTATCTAGCTTCTCTTTAAACTCTATTATAGTCCTAGCCTTCACAGCCTCCTCTGGCAAGGAGTTCCACAGGTTGACTACACGCTGTGTGAAGAAGAACTTTATTTTATTCGTTTTAAACCTGCTACCCATTAATTTCATTTGGTGTCCTCTAGTTCTTCTATTTAAGGAACTAATAAATAACTTTTCTTTATCAGCCCTCTCCACACCACTCATGATTTTATAGACCTCTATCATATCCCCCCTCAGTCTCCTCTTTTCTAAACTGAAAAGTCCCAGTCGCTTTAACCTCTCCTCATATGGGACCCGTTCCAAACCCCTAATCATTTTAGTTGCCCTTTTCTGAACCCTTTCCAAGGCCAAAATATCTTTTTTGAGGTGAGGAGACCACATCTGTACACAGTATTCAAGATGTGGGCGTACCATAGGTTTATACAGGGGCAGTAAGATATTCTGGGTCTTATTTTCTATCCCTTTCTTAATAATTCCTAGCATCCTATTTGCCTTTTTGACCGCCGCTGCACACTGTGTGGAAGTTTTCAGAGAACTGTCCATGATAACTCCAAGATCTCTTTCCTGATTTGTCGTAGCCAAATTAGCCCCCATCATACAGTACGTATAGTTGGGGTTATTTTTCCCGATGTGCATTACTTTACACTTATCCACATTAAATTTCATTTGCCATTTTGTTGCCCAATCACTCAGTTTGGTGAGATCTTCTTGGAGTCCCTCACAGTCTGCTTCTGTCTTGCCTATCCTAAACAGTTTTGTATCATCTGCAAACTTTACTACCTCACTGCTTACCCCTTTCTCCAGATCATTTATGAATAAGTTGAAAAGGATTGGTCCCAGGACTGACCCTTGGGGGACACCACTAGAAATGCATCATATCACAAAGTGGCATTATTCAGTTAATTCATGCTTTTTATCTTTGTTTCAGGGTCAGTGAGAAAGATTACAGAAAAGATCCCAGCCATGGAGCAATCACCCCCTGCTGGTTTATTCATAACAATGGAACAGGATTGATTGATGGAGCTCACACCGACTATATTGTTTCCGACCTATTTAGCACACCACTTACAAACTAAGCACCAAACTTACACGTGCAGTCTCATACTTTAAATAAAATGCTTCTTAATAGCTAAGAAAGTCAGCTGTAAGAAAACAATACAGAGAAAGAAAGTTGCTTTTACTCATTTTTAAATGAAGCTGATCTCTGCGGTTTTTATAGTTTGATTAGCAAATGGCATGTCTCAGTACCCTGTCATGGTATTTTGCCCCCATCCCTAACCCACATTTAGAGCTTGCTTGTATAGGGAAATTGACTGGACAAGCTATTGCAGAATAAGCTATTCTGCCATAACTATCTCTTAAAGTCCTGGTCTACACTAGCACCTTAGTCCGAAATTAGCCCCCCAAGGTTGAATTTATAAGCGATGCATCCACACTACCAAGCCTGTTATTCCAGAATAAGGGGCCGTGGAATTCAAACTCTATACTTCTGCTTTTTAACACTATTCCCGAACTTGTGGGTCTGAAATAACGTTAGTGTGGACACTCTGGTGTCACTAATTCAAACTAATTGGCCTCCTGCAGCTTCCCAGGGTGCTTTGTGGGGCTCTAAGTCCGAAATAGCATGTCCACATTTATGGAACCTGCCTCGGACTACATTCAGTTCTTCCCCATAGTGAGGACACCGAACTTCGAATTTGTATCGGGTGTCCAGAAGTCGAACTCGGTAAATTTGAAATAATCTCACAGTGTAGACCCAGTGTGCGAACATTATTCCAGAATAAGAGTCAGTGTATTTTAGAAGAATGGGAGTGCACTAATGAAGTTGAAATAAAGTGACTTTTATTCCAGAATAGTGTGTGCATACAGGGAGTTATTTTGATCAATTTCTATGTGGAGACAAACCCATATATTGGATGAGAAGAAGGAAAGAGAGAAAAAAAAACAATAACCAAACACAAAAACTAGTGACAAAAGGAAGACATAAGAAGTATTGTCATTCAATGCATGCTCAATGCTATTATTAATTGTTTTATATTTCATGCTAAACTCCTTGAAAGGAACAGAAAGATTGTCATTAACTTCAACAGGCTTTGGCCCAGACCTTTACATGCTACAGTAACAGAAAAGCCTTCAATGCATGACTCTGCTTCCCAAAAGACCCTCAAATTACAAGTGCACTGGGAGGTTTGATCTTTTTCTGCATTTCCATTTTCAATTCCATTATTATGCAAGACTGAAATGTGGGTGCACGGAAAAATTCTACTCTAATACCCTTTGCACTTCAAATGAAGCCATAACAGAATTCCAGGTGAATCCTGTATCTGTGTGCAAATTTGGCCTAAATAATATAGATTGCAACATGAACAAAACAGATACCTTAGTATCTGTCATGTCTTAAGTACTTCAAAAGACTATAAAGTATTCTGATTGGATCTAGTGGTTTGTGTTTCCTTATTTCTGAGACTCTCTAAGGCTGTGTCCAGACTCTGGTTTTTTTTCGAAAAATGTAGCCTTTTTTCAAAAAAACTTCACCTGCATCTAGACTGCAGCTGCGTTCTTTCTAAATTAAATCGAAAGAATGCGGCTTTTCTTTCGATGGCGGTAAACCTAATTTCACGAGGAAGAACGCCTTTTTTGAAAGTGCTCTTTCAAAAAAAGGCGTTCTTAAATGCAAACAGGGGTATTTCGAAAGAGAGCATCCAGACTGCCTGGGTGCTCTCTTTCGAAAAAGTGGCTTGCTTTTTCGAAAGTTCCGCTTGCAGTCTAGACGCTCTCTTTCGAAAGAGGCTTGCAGTCTAGACATAGTCAAAGGGAAGAGTGCTATAGAAATGCAAAGTGTTATTTGACGATGTCCATATGTCATTTCAGATACCAAAGCACACAAAAAGGTGCAGTTGCCTTTTGATTCCATGTATGTCTGTAAGTTCTATGATAGTAATAGACAGTTTGAGCTAAGTGTGAGCAGCAAATACATTGGAACCTGTTAAATGTGGACCCTAAATGTATGGGTCCCGTAAAAGAAATATTAGGATTATAACACTTCCAAACAAATGTTTTAGGAAAGCTATTTACAGTGTGTATTGTGTAAATATTAGGTTTGCAGTCTTCCCAGAATTTCTACATAACCCACATACTGATTATTCATTAACTGAATCTAGTAAATAGGTTTTCATTTTGAGATCTGGTGTTTCCAAAATGGAAGGGCGAGTCTTTGTCGCAGTGCTGGTGTTTTCCTCACTTACAGTATTAACAGAAAATACTGAGCACAAGGTATTTAGTCTGTTTGTTACTGAGAGAATGTTCTAGCTGGTTTCCTAACTTTTCAACCAAATGTAAGTGATGAATGACTTTTCAGTATTCAGCCATGTGATGCCATGCATTTATGTTGGAACTGTTAGCCAGTCAATGTGCACATACATGGTGGTGTGAGAAGGGAGAGGGTCTACTAGCCACTCTACTTTAGTCTGTTGAAATGTAAGGATCTCACCATATTCTTCCCTGGGAATGTTAAGTATCTGTTTGTGTAATCAGTCTGGGAGGGAGACTTACTGTGTCTTGTAGAGAAAGTTTGATAGAGTTTCAACTGCTTGCAGCAGGGCTGAATTTGGCCCATTAAATTGATAGCTTCTTTAGAGGAAATAATTAGTTTCCATGGGATGAGGAGGAAAGCAATTAGGTTTTTTTAACCATATTCTTCCCTGGGAATGTTAAGTATCTGTTTGTGTAATCAGTCTGGGAGGGAGACTTACTGTGTCTTGTAGAGAAAGTTTGATAGAGTTTCAACTGCTTGCAGCAGGGCTGAATTTGGCCCATTAAATTGATAGCTTCTTTAGAGGAAATAATTAGTTTCCATGGGATGAGGAGGAAAGCAATTAGGTTTTTTTAATAACTTTGAAGCTGAAAATGTTTAATGCAATGTCATAAATATATCAAAAGGGTGTAGTAAATGTCCTAATTTAAAAAAAATACATTTTATAAAACATGTTTAAATGTTTATTCTTTATTTCTGATGATAAAATGAACTCATGCATTGGAAAACTTCACAAACTTTTATAAAACCATCTTTGATGTGAAACGTGCGACGTGCTGCATTGTTGGATACTTTTAAAAAAAGATGTGGGTCTGAAATTCGGCCCTCTGCTTCTTGGGCTACTAGATACCAGGGAACACTGCAAAGAGGGTGATGTACTTGGCCTTGGGACTAGTGCATTAAGAAACGTTCAGGGATTGCTCTCTAATGATGCCTCCTGGGAGACAAATAGGGCTAGATTCAATCCTGCATCTGAGGTTCCTTCTGAGACCAACACTCTGGAGCCGTAGGCCAGTCTGTTGGCGGTGGTATGTGTTAGAGCAGTCTTGAGGTTGCTCTAAACTGATTCCTGTTCTCTTGGACCATCTACCATTGGAGGCTGGCACAGCAGAGCTCCACCCAGGTCCTTTCTTTCTCTGACATAGTGATTAGGAATAGTCAGCATGGATTCACAAAGGGCAAGTCGTGCCTGACCAATCTAATTAGCTTCTATGATGAGGTAACTGGCTCGGTGGACGTGGGAAAGTCAGTGGATGTTTAGCAAGGCTTTTGATACGGTCTCCCACAATATTCTTGCCAGCAAGTTAAGGGAATGTGAATTGGATACATGGACGGTAAGATGGATAGAAAGATGGCTAGAAGGCCGGGCCCAGCAGGTAGTGATCAACGGTTCGATGTCAGGATGGCGGTCAGTTTCTAGCGGAGTGCCCCAAGGTTCGGTTCTAGGGCTGATTTTGTTCAATATCTTTATTAATGACCTGGATGAGGGATGGATTGCACCCTCAGCAAGTTTGCAGATGACACTAAGCTGGGGGGAGAGGTAGATATGCTTAAGGGCAGAGATAGGGTCCAGAGTGACTTAGACAAATTGGAGGATTGGGCCACAAGAAATCTGATGAGGTTCAACAAGGACAAGTGTAGAGTCCTGCACTTGGGACGGAAGAATCCCAAGCATTGTTACAGGCTGGGGACCAACCAGCTAAGTAGTAGTTCTGCAGAAAAGGACCTGGGGGTTACAGTGGATGAGAAGCTGGATATGAGTCAACAGTGCACCCTTGTAGCCAAGAAGGCTAATGGCATATTAGGTTGCATTAAGAGGAGCATTGCCAGCAGATCCAGAGATGTCATTATTCCCCTTTATTCAGCTTTGGTGAGGCCACATCTGGAGTATTGTGTCCAGTTCTGGGCCCCCCACTACAAAATGGATGCGGACACATTGGAGAGGGTCCAGCGGAGGGCAACCAAAATGATTAGGGGTCTGGAGCATATG